AGGCAAGAACCATATTTTCTGGCGGTCCGAATCTTATCTGAATTGCTAGAATAGTATATGTTATATCTTTTTGTATTATATCTATTAAATTATATTTTAACTCAAAATTAAAAAAAATCAATATTTGTTCAGGTATATATTCGAGATAAATATGATAATAAGTTCAAATTCTCAATCCCACGAATTGTTTTACTATAAAAACTAAAAACAAAAACAAGAAACAGAAAATAGTTATAAAACGTATTTTTCTATTTCTTTTTTGCGATAAAAAAAAATAAAAACGGTTACCAAACATATTCTTGTTTCTAATTATAAAAAAATTAGAAACAAGAAATAGAAAACGGAAAACGGAAAACGAGCAACGAGAACCTTACAAAACGGGCCATAAGTCTCTATTTCTCATCTCTCGGCAAGTCAAAGAGCCTTAAGAATGACTAAAATCTCAACATTCAATACGGTGTAGGTGCATCGACCCTCCTTAACATAGTTGCAATGATCTCATTAAAATTCTTTTTGTTTTATCCAAACTTTAATATAAAAATTAATCGTCAACTTGAGACTAACTCAACTAGTTAAAGACATGTATCTCTGACCAGAAGATCATGTGTTCGAACTCCCACTCCACGTAATATTTATATATATATAAACTAATAGAATTAATGTCCTACAGGAATATATGTTTGTTGTATAACTATAAATGAGATATAAGAAGACTAAAAATGATTCACTAAAATATGTCATCTTAATACATAGTAAAAATATGGATGACTACTCTCATAATGTGACTACTTTAGTGGACACATCAATCAATAAGTTCACTACCATATGCTTTTTAGAAAGAAAAAAAAAAAGAAAAAAAAAACGTTAACGATTATCAAAAAAAAGGTTTATTATAAAAATGCTTTTATTTACAGAGTTTCAACAGTAAAGTGTTTGTAGTCCAACGGTTAGGATAATTGCCTTCCAAGCAATAGACCCGGGTTCGACTCCCGGCAAACGCATTTTTTTATATGTTTCGGAAACGAATTATTTAATAAATTATATAAAATAAAATCATGTTCACGTAAATATTTAAACTAGCTTACTATTTTATTCCAAATTTCATTTATATTTAACCCTTTTAAAATGTTATTTAATAATTATATTTTTACAATATTATATTTGTAATTTTTTTTAAAGAAGAAGAATATTATATTTGCAATTACTTCTAAGGAATTATATATTTATGATATTTTAAAATGAAACCACTCCTTTAAATTTTCAGAAAATCTCAAAAAACATACATATTTATATACGTTAAAAGGCAGTTTTCAAATATATATATATATATATATTTACACGTTAAAAGGTCATTAATGTTAATGTTACTGCCAAAAAAAAAGGTCACTAATGTTTAAAGAACGAAATTTACTAATATTAAATACAGTAAATATAAATATATTAAAAAAAAACATTTTGGAGTTGAGAGACCATCCATTCTACACGAATATATAAAAATTTTAGAAAACTTGGTGCGTAGAATAAATACTGGCAAAACTCGTCTAACTTTAATTACCAATGGCTAATCATAAATCTTAGAGAAGAACAAATAAATTTTACTAATTTAGGATATTGATTATACCACTTGTAAGTTTAAATAGACAAATTTAGAAGTTTAGTAAAATAACAAAAATTGAAGTGTTCATAAAAATAATATTTTAAGACTTTGGTTTACATATATAGGACATAAATATTAAATATTTTTTGAATAGGCAACATATCTCATGTTTGTAAACTAAATGTTCCATTATTACACTATATTAAATATTTGTGTTTAAATAGGTAAGATAAAAGACCAACTATCAAAGAGGTTGAAAGTTTAATCTTCTATATTCGTATTAAAAAAATGTTTTAATTATTTTTAATAAAACTTTTAATAAAAACTAGAATGAAATAGGTCCGATGCACGTGTAATTTCATAGTTTTATTTTAAAGTATAAAAACATTAATTAAATAATTCAAATTTTTAATATAATTGGCCTCTTTTATCTCTCAATATTTACCTCACTTTGAATGTTAATGTTTATCTCATCAAATCGACATATCAAAATCACCCACTGATCTGATTGATGTGACTAAAAAAAATTTAGAATTGTCTACTACTTTAAAATCTCTCCTAAGTAAAATACAACAAACAACAATAAACAACTTAACACATATTCCTCAAAAAAACACATATGCATGGATTTTTCATTTTTTCCTAGTTAGGGTTAGAACTTGTGAACTTGTAACATGAGTTTCAACAACTAAAGCCACTACCACTATACCAACATCTCGAGATGTATATTAAATTTCTTTTTAAAAAACCAAACCTTTTATTTTAAAATTTTGTTTTTAAAAAAAGGGAAAAAAGAAGAAAAATGGTGGAAAAGTGTAGGTCTTCGAGTGAGAAAGAAGAAAAACAGGTGGGGGACTTGGAGTTAACATTCCTTTAAAAGAAAAGAAAAAAAAAATCATTCTCGTTTCTTTTTATCGTATTCTTAACTGTGCTGATGAAAAACCTTTTTAGATATTAGAAAGTGGTAAAATATAGAATAGTCAAATAAATGAAAGATAAAAATGAGGAAAGGGAGGAACAAGAAGAGCCACACGTTGGATTTTTTACGAAGAAAAACAACACGACAGAATCAATATTCTTTCTTTAAAAAACAAATTATTTATTTAAAATAAAATTACTTTTCAAAATCAAACCTTTTTATTTCTTTTATTTTAATTATAAATCAAATTCTTTTAAAACAAAATCTACTTTTTAAATTTAATTTAAGTTTTAACTTATAATCAATAATAAAGTAATTCGGTAGTTTTTTTATAAAAATATTTAAAATAATAATAATAACAAAAATTAACGGTGTCTAGAGGTAATTTTATTTTTATTATTTTTTATTTTTTATATTAAATAAATTGTTATAATAAAAAGATTTACTCCCCGTGGAATAAAATAAAAAATATTTTTATTTTAATTAAAAAATAATAATATAATAATGTATTTATAATTAGCTAAAAATATACTAGTAATTTGAGATTTGAGATAGTTTTAGAAAATTTATGGTACAAACTCAAATGAATAACATCATTTTTCGATTGAATTCTGATTCATTTCCATTTCAATTCAGATTTAAATATTTGAAATTGATTGTATAATATTAGTTTGAGATAATATATTGGTAATTAAGACATGTATTTTTTTGCCAAAAGATCTTACATCATCGTGTGGGTTGTTTTGGTTTTTTTTTTTGACAAATTGTATAAATCACTCTAAAATATGATGATTATTACAATTACACCCACAAATACGATGGTTACCCCACTCTTAAAATACCATGATTGTTAAAATTACACCCACAAATTTTCAATTATGAAAATTAAAGCCTCAAACTTTTATAAAGCGAAAAAATTACCCAGAAACTTCTCATTTTCAAAAATTAAAATTTTAAACTATAAAAAATTAAATTTATTTTTACTTTCTCTCCCCTCTTTCTACTTTCTCTCTCCTTCTTGTCCCTCCCTCAAGAAAACGTGATGCTTCATCTTCCTCGTCACCATGGCTAGCAAATATTGGGGCCAAGAAAATTTGACCCTCTTTTCGACTTATTTTATTTCGATTTCTATGTTCCTCGGATAGCACATGACCGTGTAAAGAGCACCTGTTTCCGAACCAGAAACCCGAAAGCGCCACCATAGGTTTGGTAAGTGGCGGCGCCGCCCGTGCCGCGGAGGTTCAAGACGATCGTAATTCTGCAGCGATTGGCGAAGTGCCCCAGGAGGCTGTCAACGAGCGGCCAGAGCTTGGGGCTGCCGATGAGGCTCCGGGCATATGAAGATGGTACCAAATGAAATAGACGAGGAAGGCTGAGAGGGGAGGAAGAAAGAGGGAGCTTCGTCTACGAATAAGGGAACTCGAAGAATGGAGGAATAATTGTAATGGGAGGTGGAAGAAACTGAGGGTGAGGGGTGGGTTATATAAAGTCAAAAGAGGAGGCAGGTGATTTAAGAAGAGTAGTTGGAAATTTGGGAGAGAGTACAACAGATTCAAAATTAATTCAAACACAAAAAAATCTTCAAATTCTCTCTTGGCCTGCATATCTCTGCTAGTGATGGGTGATGAAAAGGAAAAAATTGGAAGGTAAGGGTGTAATTTTTTCAAATTTATAGGTACAATTCGTTCATCCGTATAAAAGTTTATGGTTTAATTTTTACCATTCAAAATTGGAGGGTATAATTGTAACTTACAATTATACTTTAGGGTAGTTTATACCATTTATCTTTTTTTTTAGTACCTAATATGTTGTTAATACGATATATACACATATATATATATTTTAATAATAATAATAATAATATCAATCCATTTATGGAGGTCGAAGGTTTAATTTTTTAATCACATTCGTTGAACTAAAATTAAATTAAAAATCAATCTAATAATCATTTCATTTTTTATTTTCTATATTTAAAAAGTAAACTTGTAAACACTACATACTTCTACTTGTATGATTAAGGTGAAAATTTGTCTCAAATATGTGTCACCCGCAACTTATTCATGCGCGCGAATAAGATAAGTTCGGTAAACGTTGAACTGAGCAATAAATGCCGAACTCGACTCCAACGATACATTTCCCTCCCGACTCGTATAATTCGTTTGAAATTCTGGAGATAACTACTAAATTCAAATTCCAATTTATTTCCACCGTTGGTTATCTTAAGACACTATAAATATCCTTAGGTTAAAGGGATACACGGCACGAACTTTATGAGTGAGAGTGTAATTGAATTATTTTGATTTTGTACTAACAAAATTTCGGAGTGCTAACTTCCTTTTTTGTAAGTTTTCATCTTCAAGTGTTTTTGGAAACTTGTGATTCTTTATAAGAGACTTTTGGTAAAAACAATCGGCGTCGTGGGTGAGACGAGAATTCTCACATTATAATTAACAATACCTACGATCAAAGCTTTTCCACTAAGTGATGGCGGATGATATGTCTCAGCAATCTAGTTTCACCGGCAACCGGTTTCACTCCTCCATAAATCCCTTATTGAGCGGAGACGAGGAGAGCTGGGAGATAGCGTAATTTTGCAAGAATTGATTTGAGCGACAAGAGTATTGGGGGATTTTAAATATTAAATACTTTTATTTAGTTATTTGTTTTATCCAGAAATGATTTTTTTAAATAACAAAGAAAATGGCTAAAAGAGGAGAACCAAACTGCTCAACAACTATAATTATATATATAAATCTATGATATATAATTAAATTACAGAAACTAAATTAAAATTTAGCCTAAGATCATATTTTTGAAATTTTTAAAATCACGAGTCAAATAGAAAAGTAGCCAAAATGATAGAGATTAACGGGATAATTCAAAACAACATTGAATTTTAATATACTAAATCAAATAATTTTCATTAATTTTGATTATTTTATTACGATATTTTCATCCATGTTACAAATTTCTTTCCACTTTCGTGATTTTCTCCGAAAATATATTGTAAAATTGAAATCCGATATTTCTATCGAGATCAACCTTTTGAACGGAACCTGGGTTAAAAGAAGTAAAATACGTTTTAAAAACGATGTTACCAAAAACATTTGATTATATTTTTATTTCGATTCGTTCCTAGATAAACGGACTCCTAATCCTATTCCGATGAGGAAACAGATTCATAATCTTCTACTTAATTCCCCCACTGATTCCACTTTTTCAAAAGTAGTTCTCTCTCAGATTCAATCAATGGATAATCCTCCAACTTCCCCTCCCAAATCACAACCCACCGCCGATTCTTCTCCAACTCCCCCCGTCCTTCCGATCGCCGCCGCACCCGCCGCCGCCATCGCCACCCGAAACAAGCTCACTCTAATCCCCCTCATCTTCCTCATCT